TGCGTGCGTGCCCAGGATCCTGAGAGGAGAATGGAGAAGGGATTGCGGCGTGACCATCCCCCCTGGGGGGTGATTTCTCGCTTTCTGTCTCTATGTCTCTCTCTGTCTGTCTGGCGAGCGCATGCGCCCTATAGCGAAAATCTCTCCAAAAAAAAAAAAAGTTTACTGTGAATTTAGTGTGCTTGGAATTGCATAAGGGTCGAGAGCAGTGGGTCTGGCTTAGCGGGCCTTGAAGCTGGTGAAAGGACTGGATGTCTGTGTTTCTCACATTCCTCCCAGACAAGGAGGATGCTGCTCCTGCCTAAGGGTCACCCTCCCAGTGGCGCGGCCCTTGTGGAAAGTCTAGGGTCTGATTCACTGTCAATCCTCCCAACAAAGATCCAGGCACCTCTAGCCCAAGTCATCTGTGTTTTGAAAAGTGAGTGAGGATTCGAATCAATGTAGAGCAGTATGGAGGCTGAGATGGGACCCAGTGGGCACAGGAGGGGGGACAGAAGACCAAGGAGGAGGGACAGAGGTGAAACAAACACCTGCCCCCAAACACGTGGCACCAGTCCCACTGCTGGAACCTGGAGTCTCGGAAATGAAATGTGATGAGACTGGATCTGGGCCTTTGGTTAGTGTCCTGACCCAGGGGACAGTCAAACAGGTTTCCTGAGGGAAGGAGTGAGAGACGGGACGAACGACGCAGTGTTACAACTCTTCAGGATCGTCTGTTTATTGTGGGCAGCAGGGAGATGACACAGTGTTATAGCTCTTCAGGGTCGTCCGGAGACGAGGCAGTGTCACAACACTTCAGGGTCTTCCGGAGACAATGCAGTGTCACAACTCTTCAGGGTAGTCCGGGTTGCCTGGAGATTGTGGGCAAGGGATCGTGGTTATATACATGTTGGTGGGCAGTGATTGGTTGAATGAAGGATTGTAAAAGGTGGGTTATGATTGGTTGCTTTTGTGGACCAATCATGAAGTGCCAGATATGCAAATCTGAGGGATTCTAAGCTCACTGATTTGCTAAGGGAAGTGGCCAATCAGAGTATGGTCTTGAAGGTGAGGTTTTGAACGGGGAGCCAATCATGGCTTTTGGCATTGTGTAATTGTTCGCTGAGAAACTGGTGATATTCGCTGGTGCGCAGCCTCCCACAGGTTAGAAGGCCGACTTTGGACTAATGCGTCACCCTCTGCTGGAAGTTTCTAGTGGCCATGCAGGGTGATTTTTCAATGGCACGTAAACATTCCAGGCTGTGTGTGTGCACAGCATCATGTTACCTGGTGTCTCTGGTCAGAGCAGAGCTGTCTGCTTTCCTTCTCTTCCACGAGCTCCCTGCAGATGGGCCTCTTCTGCTGCTCCTCATCCCTGGCTCAGGTCATGGAGTGAGGCCTCGGTGACCTGAACAGAGATTCTGTGACAAATGTGGCTACACCATCGCGAGCTCTCCGTGTTGGCACCGTTTTCACTGGAACATAATACTTTTAACAGAAAATGTAGGGACCAGCAGTTAGCGTAATGGCTATGTCACTGAACTCCCATGTAGCTGACCGCGGTTCAAGTACCAGACCTGGTGGCTTAAACTCACGCCGGGCACGTGTGCGTGTGTGCCCAAGATCCCGAGAGGAGAATGGAGGAGAAGGGATTGTGGTGTGGCCATCCCCCCCGGGGGGGCGATTTCTCACTTTCTGCCCCTCTGTCTCTGTCTTTCTGGCGAGCGCACGTGCCCTATAGCAAAAACCTCTCCAAAAAAAGAGAAAATGTAAAGAGCTGGGCAAAAATGTTTTAAAACCCTCTTGCTTGTTGGGGAACAGAGATTAGTGATGTTTGGAGAGTCTGACTCATTCTGGCAGCTGACAGATCCATGGCAAAACATTGGCAGGTTGTGGGGAAAAGGCTAAGATATTTAAAGTCTATGTTTTGCAAGGCATCTTTCTGCATTTCTTTATTTTGGGAGGAAAAAAGTCGATCTTTTCAAATGACTACTACTTTTTAAAAAATCTGTTTTCTTACCTTCCCTCAGATAACAATGAGATCATATTAACAACTTTTAAATAACTCTTTGAGGCATGTCGTTATATTTGGCTAATGAAATGCCTTTCTAGTGAGAGGAGTAATAAGGCTGTTTTATGGTACAATTTGAACTTTGCTTTAGAAAAAGAATTAAGGAGCCAGGGTGGCATGGTGGTTAAGGTGCTGGACTCCCACATGGCTGACTATGGTTCGAGTCCCAGACCCAGTGGCTTGAAAATTACTCCAGGCACTTGTACATGCCCCAAATCTGGAGGTGAAGGGAGGAGAAGAGATTGGAGCGTGGCCATTCCCCACTGAAGATTGATTTCTCACTTACTCTGCCTCTTTTTTTTCTAAGTCTATGTACCACTTTGTAACCCTCCCCAAAAGGAAATGAAATGATTTGGTTAAATTGCTCTTATGTCAACTCTGTAAAAAAAAAAATGTGTTTTTTTCTGGCAATTAAAGTAATAGTTATTAGTTATAGAAAGTTCAAGGAAAATATGGACACACTTAGTTTTTTTTAAGAGAAAGACTTTTGATCTAGGGTGCAGGCACTCACCAGAAAGAGACAGAGGGAAAGTGAGAAATCACTCCCTAGTGGGGATGGCCATATTACAATCTCTTCTTCCCCATTTTCATCCTGGAATTTGGGGCATGTATACACATGTGCCAGGTGTGAGTTTCAAGCCTCCAGGACCAGACTCAATTCACGGTTGGCCACGTAGGAATCCAGCCCCTCAACCACCACGCCACCTGCTGGCCCAGTATGGAAACATGTAAAAGCAAAATTAAAAGCACTTGCAGGTCCCACCATGAAGAACCAACATGGCGGCATTTCCTGTGTGTAGGTGTGTGGCATGAAGGTAAAGCTGGATAGTAAAACGAGTTGGGAAGTATTCTCTCCTTGTTAACTTTCTGGAAGAGTTTGTATAGGATTTCATGTTTTCTTCCTTAAATAATTGGTCCAATTTAGCAGGATAGGCCTCCCAGGCCTGACGGTTTTGTTGTGAAGGTGTTCTATTACTATGGTGAGGGAACTGTGGTTGTTTGTGTTTCTGTACATCAAAGTCTTAGCTTTTATTGGCACGAATTGATTTATAATATGCCCTTGGTATCCTTTTAATATCTGTGGCATTTATAATGGTATCAACTCTGTCATTCCTAAAACTGGTAACTTTCTTTTCCTTTTGGCTAAAAACCAGTGGTTTACCAACTTGATTGGCTAAGGATTTATCAATCTGGCTGAAAGTTTATAGGCTTATTGATCTCAGATGAATAGTTTGGGGGTCCATTGAGTTTTCTCTATTGTTTTTCAGTTTTCTGTTTGATTTCAGCTCTAATTATTTTTCCCTTTTTCTTTGACTTAATTTGAACTAAATTTGCTTAAAGTGGGAGCAGAACCCACTGGCTGGAGATCTTCTTTCTGGGATCAGTATTCTGTGCTCTGCATTTTCCCCAGTGCCATTTTACTGTCTCCTGGGCATTTTGATATTGCCCTGTTCTTTTACTGTAAAATATAAAATGCATTCTCAGTTTTTAAAAACTTCCTTTCTGATCAACAGGTTATTGAAAGTTGTTACTTAGTTTTAAAATATTTGGGATGTTTCAAAGATAATTCCTGTTGTTAATTTAGACTTTAATTCCATTGTGGTCAGATCACATAATTTGTATGATTTTTTAAAAATTTGTTTAAATTTTTGCTATAAGGCATGTGCACGTACCAGGGAGGGGAAGAGAAAGAGAGAGAGAGAGAGAGAGAGAGAGAGAGAAGAAGGTGAGAAAGCACCCTCCCAGGGAATGGCCATGCTGCAGTCTTCTCTCCTCCATTCCCCTCTCAGGATTTTAAACATGCACATGCATGTGCCCAGCTTATTTTTCAAGCCTCCGGGTCTTGGACTTGAACTACGCAGCTGGCCATGTGGGGATCCAGCCACCTCAACCCCCATGCCATCTGCCGGCCTGTATAAATTCTTTGAAGTGTTTTGAGACATTTTCTGACCCAGAATTTGGTCTGTCTTGACAAACGTTCCTTATGAACTTAAAGGGGGAAAAGTGTCTTCTTCAGTTATAGGGTAGAATATTCTAGAATATTCTAGAAATTTGATCAGTAGTATTGCTCAAGTCTGCTTTATCTTTGCTGATTTTCTGTCTCTCCTGTCATCTACTGAAGAGAGATCTAAATCTGACTCACATAATGGATTTGTCTATTTTCTCCTTTTGATTATTTCTGTTTTGCCCTATGTGTTTTGAAGCTTTTTATTGGGTACATAAGTATTTAGGATTGTAATGCCTTCCTGATCAGGTAACATCTTTATCGTGATGAAATGACTTTCCCTCTCCTTGTTACTATTCTGTGTTTCGAACATTTCTCTGGACGATATTAACATGATTGCTTCGGCGTTCTTTTGATTAATGCTAGCACGGTGTATCTTAGTCCATTTTTCTATTGCATTTACTTGTGTCTTTATATTTGAAGTGCATCTTTGTAGAGAGCATGGAGTTGGAGCTTGTTTTCTTATCCAGTCTGGCAATCTGCCCTTGAGTTGGGGATTCTTAACCCATTTATATTTAATCTTATTATGGATATCATTAGGTTTAAGTCTGTAATCTTTCTATTTGTTAAATGATTCCTTTCATTTTTTCCTCCTTTTTTGTCATTATGGTATTTTAAATCATTCCATTTGATCTTCTTTCTTGGATAATTGTGGCCAACTCCACCAGCCCCCAAATAAGAAATTCTTATCAGGAAGAACAGATATTGTTTAAGGTAATAGACAGGAAAAAAGCTTCAAAGACATGGTCTAAATTTAAGTTTAGCTGATGTCGGCAAAGCTCCTAGGCAGAGGAAGTTCAGGCTTAACAGATTTTCCCCATTCTTGGAATGCCACTGGTTTTTTTCAAGGTTCTTGGGGAAAAAAAAATCACTGAGTTTCCTAGTTAAAAATGGCAAATTTATGTTCTTTTTCTTTGTTCTTTTCCAGCAAGTAACTGGCAGAAGTTTTGGTGATAAAGATTTTCGGACAGGATTGGAAAATGGGATCCTTCTCTGTGAGTAAGTATTCAATTGGTTTTATCGAAGAAGCATGAATATAATTCTGTCTGTAACACTCCGGTGTTTTGTTTTCAACGTATTCACAGTTTGAATCTGAAATGCAAAAAAAATCACCAGGCTAGCAGGGAAGGAGTAGGTGAAGGTATCTTGGTATGACAATAGGGAGTAGTGGGGACTGTGGCAATTATAATCTAGAGAAGAAGAAGAGTCATATGGTCCTCAGTACTTGGCTCCAATCTGCTTTTTCTGTGTAGAATGGGTCTGGGTAATTGTAAGGGTGTGGACCTCGTTATGTTAAGAAAAGCAGCTATCTCCTCTTTTTTTTTTTTTTTGGAGAGGTTTTCGCTATAGGGCGCATGCGCTCGCCACACAGACAGAGAGAGACATAGAGACAGAAAGTGAGAAATCACCCCCCAGGGTGGATGGTCACGCCGCAATCCCTTCTCCTCCATTCTCCTCTCGGGATCTTGGGCACGCACGCACACGCGCCCGGCGTGAGTTCTAAGCCACTGGGTCTGGGACGTGAACCGCGGTCGACTACGTGGGAGTCCAGCAACATAGCCATTACGCTAACTGCTGGTTCCCTCTATCTCCTCTTTTTAATCCCAAACAAAAGTACCTGTGCCAGCTGAAAATATGCTTGTACCTCTTACCACATCTTAAAAGCATGCCAGGAAATTCTCACTGGGCCTACTTCACTGAGGTATTTCGAATATGTTTAGTTGGTGTCGTGGGCAGACTTCAAATACGAACAATAACTAGAGTATTTCATTTTTATGTTTTGAACCAGGCCCCACCTACAGTGCTACTGTGTTAGAGAATGCAAACCTTTCTGTGAAGTGATTTTAGACACAAAATGAGCGCGTATTTACAAGTAGAGGGCCATGCCATGTAAATAAGATTTCAAATGTTGAATTTATAGAATTTGATAGAGCCTTGGAATTTGGAGACTGATTTTTGTTTAATCGAGGTGACATATCTGTATCAACAAAACACACAGTTCCTAAATGCGCAATCGGATGGGCTTTGAACAATTTTTACCTATACCGTAATCAAAATATAAAGCAGAAGTTTCCCTCATGTCTCTTCCCACCTGGTCTCAACCCCTTTGAGTGCTGTATTTTTTTATTTTTTTCTTTTTCTGGAGAGGTTTTTGTTATAGGGCGTGTGCGCTTGCCAGAAAGACAGAGATATATATAGAGAAAGCGAGAAATCACCCCCCAGGGGGGATGGCCACGCCGCAATCCCTTCTCCTCCATCCTCCTCTTAGGATCTTTGACGCACATGCACAAGTGCCCAGTGTGAGTTTAAGCCACCAGATCTGGGATTTGAACTGTGGTTGACTACATGGGAGTTCAGCAACATAGTCATTATGCCATCTGCTGGTCCCTAGAGTAAGTGCTGTATTTTTTTTCTTTTTTTCTTTTTTTGGAGAGGTTTTTGTTATAGGGCGCGTGCGCTTGCCAGAAAGACAGAGATATATATAGAGAAAGCGAGAAATCACCCCCCAGGGGGGATGGCCACGCCGCAATCCCTTCTCCTCCATCCTCCTCTTAGGATCTTTGACGCACATGCACACGTGCCCAGTGTGAGTTTAAGCCACCAGATCTGGGATTTGAACTGTGGTTGACTACATGGGAGTTCAGCAACATAGTCATTATGCCATCTGCTGGTCCAGAAAGTGAGAAATCACCCCCCAGGGTGGATGGTCACGCCGCAATCCCTTCTCCTCCATTCTCCTCTCGGGATCTTGGGCACGCACGCACACGCGCCCGGCGTGAGTTCTAAGCCACTGGGTCTGGGACGTGAACCGCGGTCGACTACGTGGGAGTCCAGCAACATAGCCATTACGCTAACTGCTGGTTCCCTCTATCTCCTCTTTTTAATCCCAAACAAAAGTACCTGTGCCAGCTGAAAATATGCTTGTACCTCTTACCACATCTTAAAAGCATGCCAGGAAATTCTCACTGGGCCTACTTCACTGAGGTATTTCGAATATGTTTAGTTGGTGTCGTGGGCAGACTTCAAATACGAACAATAACTAGAGTATTTCATTTTTATGTTTTGAACCAGGCCCCACCTACAGTGCTACTGTGTTAGAGAATGCAAACCTTTCTGTGAAGTGATTTTAGACACAAAATGAGCGCGTATTTACAAGTAGAGGGCCATGCCATGTAAATAAGATTTCAAATGTTGAATTTATAGAATTTGATAGAGCCTTGGAATTTGGAGACTGATTTTTGTTTAATCGAGGTGACATATCTGTATCAACAAAACACACAGTTCCTAAATGCGCAATCGGATGGACTTTGAACAATTTTTACCTATACCGTAATCAAAATATAAAGCAGAAGTTTCCCTCATGTCTCTTCCCACCTGGTCTCAACCCCTTTGAGTGCTGTATTTTTTTATTTTTTTCTTTTTCTGGAGAGGTTTTTGTTATAGGGCGTGTGCGCTTGCCAGAAAGACAGAGATATATATAGAGAAAGCGAGAAATCACCCCCCAGGGGGGATGGCCACGCCGCAATCCCTTCTCCTCCATCCTCCTCTTAGGATCTTTGACGCACATGCACAAGTGCCCAGTGTGAGTTTAAGCCACCAGATCTGGGATTTGAACTGTGGTTGACTACATGGGAGTTCAGCAACATAGTCATTATGCCATCTGCTGGTCCCTAGAGTACCATATAAATGTTGGCTATTTTGCAGAACCCTTCAACATAGCTATGGGAGCATTTTTCCTCTCTCTCCCCACTGCCCTTTCTTCCCAGGAGATGCAGACCCCTGGCGGCTGTCCGCACACCCTCCTCCCTGTGGAGCCTTGCCCTCCTTTCTCGCACTGTCCTCTCTCAGCCTCTCTTTTTGCCTTGCCTCATCACGTCTCAGCCTGTCTTTAGGTGAACCATAGCTCAGCCCCTCACCAGGGACCAGCCAGACAGGCTCCAAAGGCTTCCCTTCCATTCTCACACTTGTTTTTCCCATGATTCAGGGCTTGGCCCTCCTACTACTAAGAGACTAACCAGAACTGGATGTAACGTATGGGGCCCGTGCTCTGAACCTCTGCTGCAGAGATTCTTATAGGCCACCACATGGCCACCATGTTCCCATGAGTGAACCTGTCAGGGAGTAATATGCCTACCCGACTTCAGATTCAGAGCAGGCGCTCTCTAAATGCAAGGCTCTGGGGCTTGAGGTATTCACTCCCCTCCACTTTTCTTCTTACCTAGCTGACAATGCTGAGCTCGAGGGTGGAGTCTCTCCTTGTGTGTAGTATCACTAGTCAGTGACTGATCTTTTACAAGCACAGTGAGCTTTGGAGTTTGAGGACTAGGGATCAAGTCCTGCTTCCCCAGTGGGACTCCAACCAGCAGCCTTGGCCAAGAGCTTGCTAAGGTGCAATAGATCACACAGGGAGCTGGAGGCATGAAGAGCCAGTTGTAAGAGCCCCAGCCAAAGCCTTGGAAAGAATGCTAAGTCAGGTGCTAGGAAAACCTGACACAGATCAATTTCTTCTCTTTCTTTCTTTACTTTTTATTTCTGTCTCTCTTTTGTAGAAAGGTTTTTGCTATATGGCGCGTGCGCTAGCTGGAGAGACAGAAAGTGAGAAACCACGTCCTAGGGGGATGGCCATGCAACAGTCCCTTCTCCTCCATTTTTCTCTGGGGGTTTTGGGCATCCGTCACACACACACAGCTTGAGTTTCAAGCCACAGGGTCTGGGATCCAAACTGTGACTGGCCATGTGGGAGTCCAGCGATGTAACCACTACGCCATCTGCTGGTCTCAACACAGACCAGTTTCTAAGAGCAGGTCTTGCTGGCCCATGAGAGACACAATCAGGACTCAAGAGCTGAATATAATGAAGTCTGAGGAAAGTGGAAGAAGAGGTTTCCCTTGCTCACCTTTATGGCTAGCTTCGATCTGACCTGAGAATATTGGGCTGCCACAGAGGGGTTTAGCTGGTGAGATTTTCTGGGACTTTTATCCCACAGCCAATTAGCAAGGAGACCCAGTCTCGCCCTGTTCCAGGTGTGGAGTTGGTTGATGGCTGGGGTCAAAGACAGGAAAATCAGCTTGGAGGGTTTTAGGATAGTCCCCAGACTTTAGATTCACGTGGGTTTCAAACACCTGTCTGGAGAGAAGATACCGTGCTACTCTCTGAAACAAGACAGGGTTTTGTGGATAATAGGCATACACTACTCTTTGGTCATGCTTAAAATGTAGCAGTCACAAAACCCAACAAAACCCTGGCTTTTGACAGAAAGTGGAAGGATGTGGAAGATTTACTGGTGAGCGAGGCAAGTCAGGATATGAAGGAGAGACATTGTATGTCCCCACTTAACATACTCCGAGTGTCTGCACTCTATGAGTGAAACTGATTGACTAAAGGTTGTACAAACACAAGAGAGGGGTGTGACTGTCAGATGAGGTGTGTGTGGAGGGGTGGGGCCTAAGGAAGGACATTTGGAGAAGGGACACGGAGGTAGAGCATTGACGGGATGGGGAGGTGTGGTGTTATCGGTTGAAGATATATTGATCAACGGGACTGGGGAGAAATGTGCACATATTGAAATGCTCACATTGTAAGCTAAACAATGTGATTGAATGTATATAAAAAATAAATAAAAAAATAAAAAAAATGTAGCAGTCACCTAAATGTTAACTTTTCTCCCTGTCTCTACTACCTCATTAAGTCTCTGGGAGAGTCCGGGGAGAGAAGACAGGAAAGCTCCACGCATCGTGTTGGGCACTAGCTTGGCACGCTGCGCCATTGCTGTCCTCGTTATTTCTGTTGGAAACAGGCCAGAAGTCAATTATAAATGTGACCAGTCAGTACAGCTCTGTGTCATGTGCACCCCTCGGCTCTCCCCCGTGGGCTGCCAACGAGCCACAGGGTGGAAGCATGTGAATTTTACTTTCTAGCTTCCCTCGCCTCGTTTGTGATCCAAAACTGGGCAAGGAAGTGTGGGTCCCTTACAAACCTGATCAACTGTGGATAATGTC